CCTCTTACTGGGTTGTCCAAACTTCCCTCCATTTCCCAGCACACTTCATCAGGAAACTGATCAGTAATATATATATATATTTATATATATATATATATATATAATTCTTCCACTCAACCCTTTGTTCTCTGAGAACCTATAGACTTAGAACCTCCAACAGCCCTCTGGCTTAATTAGGCTTAGCAAGTTTTCAAAAGACCCCAGTGGCTTTCCAGTCCCCCATTACTTCTTAGGCAAGAGGATATCATGGGTGAGAATAACTGACCTCCATTTGTCTTATGTGTTAGACAGACTGGCTATTAACAGCTAATGCTATTCTAGAAAACGCAGACCCTCTCATAGTAATTCATCTATAATCATTTTCCTGCAGTTCCTGTTTATTCTCCTATTGTTCGTACTGGAGACCCAATACACTCAGATGAAGTGAGAATGCCTGCTTTGGTGAAAAGTCCAAGTTCCAGAATTCATTTATGTGTTCTGAGTTATACAAGGTTTAGACCACATAATAGTAGAGACCGGTGCCCGGTGGTAGTCATCCAAGTTATTCTGAATTTCACACACATATATGCCCATGGTTCAGCTTGGCAGCACTCCTCTATGGGTTCACAGCATGTGCCAGCTATCAGTTATCAGTGGCTGGATGCCCAAGATGATTTTCAGAAACAGCTGGAGAACTCTTCCTGCAAAGACTTTAGCACATCAGTCTAGAATATCAAAATTGTAAGGTCACCTCACTCCCTCTTGATAGGACCAGGGCATGGTTAAATGATGTGTACCTTTGCCTTCCAACACCTCCTGTTTCTTGCCCATCTGATCTCTGGCCTCCCTGTTCTTCAAACTCCAGCCATCAGTTTTTCCAAGCATGCAGCCTCACCTGAACACGCCGCCCCAAGCCTCCTGCCTCTGGAAAACCTAGACTCCAGAATTATGACAGCTCAAGGAAGAGGGGAGGTACTTAAAACTAACAAGTTTTTGAAGGAAAAATAGGTAACAAGAGTCCAGTCAGGCCAAGTGAAATGAAGAACCACAACACATTTCAGAAGGAAAGTTCTAAGCTCAAACTCAGAACCTCATTTCTAGGTTTCCTGGTCTTTCCTTGTTTATCTTAGGACCATCCTGGGATGGTCAAACTCAAGTATATTTTAATTGAATTGAATTAACACTTTTACATGCCAGAAGACAGTTTCAAATTTTTGGAAGCAACCAAAAATAATCATATGGTAGAGAAGCTTCTAAAGGCTAGTTTTGCTTACTGTTAAAAACAAGTAAATTGTCTATTTTTCTAAGAAGTGATCATATTCTATTTCTTCTCTCAAATTTTAACTTTGAAATTTAAAAATTACAAAATTGGGTAAGAAAGAGAAAAGGAAATTGGAAGTATGAATTAGCCAGGAAGGTGCTGGAGAAGTTAGGTAAGTCATTTCAATACAGATGGATCAGGAATGTGAGGACATTACATTTAAGGTGATTTGATGAATTGTAAGAAAATGACCCCCTTCCTAAAAGTCTCGCTCTCATCAGCTAGCCACAGTGTCAATAAGTCATTCATTACACTTTGCTTTAGGTTGAACTTAGAAAGGTCAGTGTCCAGGAAGGAATAAAATAACCTGTCATACAGTTCCTTTAAGGTGTCATGGTCTTATTTATTGCTAGGAAGCCAGAAGATGGTGCTGAACTAAAGATAAACTCCTCTAGTTTTATAATTTTACTGAGTATGATCCCTGCCAAAGGAATAAAATACTCTCAGTCATGGAAACTTCCAAGGTTCTTGTAGCTTCTGTGAGAGTAGAGATGAGAAAGATAGTCAAAGTCTTGTTCTCTGTCTCTGTGGTGGAGTTGGGGAATTGAAAAGAAAGGACTCTGGTTATTATCTGTCTATCAAGTTGTTCAGAGTTTTGTTTTTTACGTATTCTTTTATTTTTGTTGTTGTTGAAATACAGTTGACATATAGCAAATTAGCTTTAGGTGTACAACATGATGATGTGACTTCTGTATGCAGTGAAAATGATTACCACAAAACTTATTTTTTATCTAAGCAATATTTTTAATTTGCAGTATAATCTTTATAGTCTATGAGTGCCATCGAGTCCACTACATCCCTATGACTTAATTATTTTATAGCTGGACATGTACACCTCTTGATCCCTTCATCCATTTTGCACCTCACCTTCAAGTTTGTTCAGCATCTGAGTACCAAGGCCAAGACCCAAAAGCAGTTTTAAAGGAATAACCTCACCAGGTAACATCTTTTGCAGGTTGAGAGTAAATGTTTGGGAGGCCTAGAAAAACTTGGATACAAAAGGACTGTTTCTATTTTTCCAGGTTTGGTTCTGTCCTTGGCACTGACAGGGTTAGTAGTGTTGGGTTGACTTTCTCCATAGGCCCCATGATGCTTCCTGGGAAACTGTTGTTCACAATTATTAGAACAGAAAAGCAACCGAGAGGTGGCCCATTAAACACCCTCACCTTGCATATGAGCACACTGAACAAGAAGATGATCAGAAGCAGAACTGCACAGGGGACAGAGCACGAGTTTTGGGAGCAGACAGACCTGGGTCTACCACTGAGCAGCTATGTAAACTTAGGCAAACTCAATGACATTTCTTAGTTTCTTCCTCTGTAATGATAGTTTTTAGGGAGTACCTACTCAGAGAATGGACTCAAAACTTGGCCAGTTATTATGTCTGCTAAGTTTCCAAATTGAGATGTAATTCACATAATGTAAAATTCATTTCAAAGTGTACATTCATTGTATTGGGCAACCATCGCCACTGTCTTAATTCCAGAACATTCCATCACACCCAGATAACCCTGTTCCTGTGAACTGTCAGTCCCAGATCTCCCTTCCCCCTGGCACCTGGTGATTACTAATCCACTTTCTGTCCTTAGGGTTTTGCCTATTCTGGGAATGCGTTCTAAGTGGAATCAGATATGGCTTCTTGTGGTCTGGCATCTGTCACTTAATGTTTCACCCAACTTGTAGTATATACTTTCAGCCAAGCTTCACCCAACTTGTAGCATATACTTCAATCCTTTTTATTGCCAAGTATTATTCCATCACGGATATACCACGTTTTGTTTAGTCAGTCATCGGTATTGGTTATTTGGTAATATTTCCATTATTTTTACTAAGTTGGACCAAAGCCAGATGAGGCAAATTCCTCAATTTGGTCCTGTTTTGACTATCCCACATTTCCCACTGTAGTATCTGAGCATGCATATTGTACTAATAGTAGCTGTTTGTTCAAAGAAACCCTTATGACCTGGCCAACTTCTCTTGGGATTTTATGCCTTTACAAGAACTTTCCAGTATGGAAGGAAAAATACACAATTCAAAGAAATGAAATCTAAACATTGTAGAGAAATGGTGCTGATGAACAAGCTTAATTTTCATGTTCTAGGCTCCAGCAGACAGACCTTTGTGCCTGTTCATCCCACTGTAGTCCATAGAAGAATCTGAGGTCTGTGCAGTACCTTTTATCTACCTGGTTTTGCTGTGTAAGTTTATGACCATGGTTGATTGCCTAGGATCAAAGAGTTTATTACTAGCTTTGGTTGATATCTGAGGACCCTCCCCTGGTTTGCTATCCTCTGGTTTGCTATCCTCCACAGCAAGTATCCTCTTCTTCTCTTGGACCATCACTGTCACTGCCTTAACCTGACCATTACTCCCAGGCCTCTGTGCACTTCAAACAGAACCAGGTCTGAGTTTCAGATGGGAGAGCAGGGAACTGGGTGTAGCTGGGTATGTTCTGTTCTTCACTTAGTGATGATGGAGGCACTTAACCCAAAGCCTTCTCTTTGTGGGCACAGGAAGACTGGATGCAGGCCCATTCGTTTAGAATTTGGTTGTTGACATTCTTTGCTTGGGGATGGGTGATGTGTAGAATGTGGCAGGATTCCAGTAGGGGAAGGCATTTCTCTGGATTCATCAGGGGCTGTGCTTCCTTATCTTGGGTGGCATGAAAGTAGAGTCCAGCCCAACCCGGCTTCCTGACTTTGAGCAAGTGTTTTCTTTGCTAAAGCCCTAATGATCCCATCCTGAACACACTCATTACCAGCTCATCTGATGTTTTATTTTTTGTTATTCTTTAAGATCTGGAGTCATCATTGTGTGTCAGGCTTCTCATGCATTATCTCCTTGATATTATTTCCTGCATCTAAGTGTTGGCAGTTTCTGAAACACAGCAAAGCCCAGCCCTTGTCTTCTGCAAGTTAAGCATCCCTCCCGCCTCCCACCCTTCCTGGTGGATGCCATTTCCAGCAGCTTCTGTCCTGGTCGCCCTGGGCGATATTTCCCACCTGGTCAGTGTTCTCCACACCCAGCAAGTGATGCTGCCCATGTGCTCTGGACCAGGCTGGCCCCACAACCAGGGAAGGCACGTGATGCTCATTGACGGCAGCTAGGCTTGCCAGGACTCCCACTCTGGTCGCCTCTTAGTACCTGCGTCCGCCCCAGCCCCCGTACTCTTTCACTTTGAGGCAGAGTTTCCATCATGTGCAGTTGGTTTTTAGATCCTCAGAGTAGATCTCTAGGCTCCCCCCATCTATTTTCTCTGTCCTTTACCCTGGGGACTTGCAGTCATTACATCAGAGCTATATGAATGGGAGTCTAGCCTGGTTCTGATGCAAGAAATTGCCGAGGGAGCAGAGGAGAATTTTCTAATCGTATATTAGAATTGACTCTATTAGTAGAAAAACATTTCTCTGGCACCTTTCCCAGGGTACTTGCGTGTGTAATTTTGAGTTCATAGAGCTTTTCGGTTGGTTGGTCTGGTTTGGGGTGGTTTTTCGCATCAACAACAAAGGAATGAATAGATTAAAAAGATGAATTGAGTGTGGAGCGTCTTTTGGCAGCTTCGTACCCCAAGCCTCTGGCCAGGTTTTAACCACGTGTGGGTCCTGGGTGGCCCGCTGAATGTGTCCCATCCCCCCTCCCACCCCCACCATGTGTGGGAGGACGCTTTGAGGTGCTCATGGCCGCTCTGTGTCTGTTGCAGTTACCTGGCTGAGCAGTGCTGGAATGGCGGCTTCATCTACCTGATCATGCTGCGGCGCTTTAAGCACAAAGTCCACTCTCCTTATAACGGCAGCAGCAGCCACAGCTCTGAACCAGGAGAGACCCCAAACTTGGAGCTGGGGGACGGAACTGTGAAAAAAGGGAAGAGAACAAGAAAGTTTGGGGTCATTTCCAGGCCTTCTACCCCTAAGGCCACTGAAGATTCCAAGAGCATCACTGGCTGTGAGCTGGACGGTGACCCGGTCTCTGAGCCGGACCATGGCCTGGACGCTGAGCTCGGAAATGGTCACGCCTTTGAGCTAGAGAACGGCCCAGATCCTCTCAAGGAGGTGTCTGGGTCCCAGCTGGATGGGTCAGAAGTGGACAGAGGGACAGAGCATAGGATTCCAAAGACAGAAGCTCCACCACCCACCAGTAATGACAAACGCAACCTCTCCAAACCCGGGAAGACGGACTTCCAGTCCAGTGACTGCCTGGCACGGGTAAGTTTTGGTTTGAATGTGGAACCTGGATTTTTAAACTATTGTTTAAGTTGCTTTAAAGGTTTAGAAAAGTATATGTAAGATGGCCTTGCATTTTGTGGCCAACAAATTTATTAAGATAAATGATCAGAGGACATAACGACAATAACAAAAAAATTCAAGTCACTTTATCCTCCTTTAAGTAAAGAGCTAGTCAAGTGAGCCTAAGTGGAAAATTCGAGCCTCTGTGATATAATTTGAGTCATATGAGGCCCAGATAAAGTACTTGAAAGGCATCATTATTTATCACTGCTGTCACCAGAGGAATTGCCACTGCAAGGCCAAGAATTCTGGTGGCAGTTGATAGCTTAAGCGTCCAAGCTTTGGTACTAACAGGAAGGATGTCCAGCATGCAGGGAAGCATCTGCTTTTGTTTTTAACATTTCAAAACCAGTGACATTTTCATGGGATCCTGTTATTACATTGCTGAAGTCCAGTGAAGTTTGGAAACTTCACAGAAATCTCTGATGCTGTGATAACCAGCTGAGGTGGTCAGGTCGTTCGTACCTAAAGCATAGTAGACGTGGTTGATTCTGAATGGTAATGGGTGTGCTTCTAGACGCAACCTGTCTCCCCCATTCTAAGCAACCCTCTCTCATGATTACGTTTCTTGAGGGTAAGCATGGTGGTCCCATGAATCGTCTTGACTGATGATATTCTTCTGGGTTCCTACCTTCCAGGTAGTTCTTACCTTCCCAGGTAGTTCTTAGTGGTTCTTCTATGACATCTTCTAGAAGACACCCTATAGGCATAAAGGGGAAAAGTAGAAAATGGACACAAAGGATGCCTCAAGCTCGGCTTTCATGCTGGGGACTGGTGCCTTGGGAGTGACTGTAATTTCCAGTAAGGCTCTTTCGTGCATATTTCTGCAGTTGTAGCCAATCTGTATAGTGGGTTGAGAAGAATCAAAGTATCCTCTCTCAAGGGACCATGTTCCTTCATTTGAGGTGCTGGGTGGTCTTCGGAAAACCTTATATAGATGAAGCATTGTCTGTAGATGGAATGTGGTAGCAAGTGAGAAATGTCTCTATCAATGATTTCCTACCAATTTTAAGTCCCCAGAAAGGATTAAGAACAACTAAAGATTATGATGTACACCCCTCCCAAATTAAGGGCCACAAAAATATTATGTGTTTCTTGTCAATGAATACTATATCTTGATTTGATTATTCCCCTAATGATTAGATTGTGAATACTCATAAAGCCTAAGGTAAAAAAATTAAGCCATGGGATATGGACTTCCCTAATCATTTTGAAGACTGAAGATACAGTCTTCAGGAGGTACAGGAGGTTGAATCCTGTATATAGTCCAAAGAGCAATATTTCTTCTAGCTAAGACACAGTAAAAAGGATTTGGAATGATTTTAAAGGAAAACACACACACCAAACTTTTAAGTGCGTCCCCATCCTTTGCTCATCTTAAAGTCAGTAACATAAAGTTGCATTTCTGGAATTGGCTATCTGAAGATTCACATCTCAGAGTTCCTTTGCCTGGTTTCATTCACGGTCAAATGTTCAGAAAGAGATCAATGAAGCAGTGGTGGGGGCGGGTGGACAAACAGAAAGAGTCTTGCTCTTTGGGGTATTTTTTAAAACCACATGCCTGTTGGAGGAGAGACTTCTGCTCTGGAATTGAATTCTTTGTAATTGTGTATAATCTAAGGACTGATTACTGATCCTGGCTTGTACTTATGGTCTTGGGAAGTTGGAGTGGGTCCCACACCTTTTCAGGCATGTCTGTTTCGGCCCCCTTTTCAGTGCAGAGTTTCTTCATTCAATGACTTCACCCAGGATGGATCCAGTGGGCAGGAAGCAGATCTTTATGATCCCCCCATATCTTCAGGACACCCAAATTGCAACCAGTAGATCTGCCTAGATCCTTGGTCTCAGTGGGTTTTTTATTTTCACTCCAGGATGAGCCTAAGTTCATGTAAAATGGAATTTCCAGAAAACACAAATATTAGCTATTTACCTCTTAAGCCTCCAGGGGAACAAATTCCATTCCATTTGAATAATGGGAGATTAAACATGTCAGTGTTGTTCCATTTCTGCCTTACTAATGATTTAATATATCCACAAAGACTTAATAAATTACAAAAAGTCTTGTAACAATCACTCAGACCGTTCTTATTTGTCAGGGACTTCTTTTTCATAGACTGTTACTTGTTACATGAAAATAAATCCTTGTACTTTGTTTCTATATTCTGTTCTCCCTTCATGGAGCTATAGGAAACGTATTTCCTTTGCACAGATATCACCTTCTTTTAAAAAAAATGGTGTGTTTCTGTAAAAGATTAATACATGATACATCTGTACCCAGATTAATTTTTAAAAATATAGATATTGGGCCTATTGTCTAAAAAATAAGAATCTCCTGAGACATAAATAAGCATTTTTAGAAATGAGTCCAAAGTTCCTTATTCCCAGTCTAGTAAAGATCATCATTACTCATCCAAAGTGACAGTTTTTGCAAGTCTGGTAACACATAGCATGTTTTTTGTAATGCTGCATGGTTAAAATGAGTACAACCAAACTTGGTCACATAACAAAGAAAAATCATCTTCCCATTTTCCAGCTAGGCAGATATATCTGTTGTGGTCTTACTCATAATCCACCCGGTGCAGTAGCAGCCCTCAGCCCCCGGGTCTTCTTAGAGAGCTCAAGAAGGCTTCCCAGGTCAGATCTGCAGAAAAGGACGAGAAACTCCTTCACAGTATCTCCCAGGCGGTCCCTGAGTTTGCGTCCAGCAGAGACAGCCTGAGGATGACCAGCTTCTAGGAGGCCCCCTGGTCACTGGGTGAACCAAGACCCTGCTTCATGGTGGCATCTTCTAAGTCCCTGTCTGTCTTCACCTCTCGCCCACCCTTGCTGTAGTCTTCCTACAGCACGTCTCCATGTCAGATGTTTCATGCCCTCCCTGAAGCTCAGTGCCTTATTTGCACCCCACCAAGCCTGCTGCAGAGTTCCCAGGCTCACCAGCAGCAAGTTGCCTGAGCCAGAAAGCAGAGATTCAACAACTGACCACTAGTCTGGCTCGTGGGTGACTTTCACTGGTTTTGTCCTGACAATCCCATGTCCTGGGACACCCTCCATCCCAGGCGCATTGGGCCAGTTGGCATCCTGGAGTCAAAAGGAAATGCTGCCCCCTCCCTTACACCAGTCCTGGCTGCTGACTGCCCTTAGGATCGCCGCTGGCTCTGCTTCTCCTCCCCAGCTTCTGCAACGTCAGGTCGAGACCGCGACCCGCGGCTCACATTTCTCATCTGGGCGATCACAGTCGTTTCCTGCTGTTTCGCTGCCCCACTCTCATCTCATCATCTTCTGTCCTTGCTGCAACCAAAAAAGCACTTTTTTTGGTTTTGCTTTTGTTTTTTTGAGGTGACATGGTTCACAGCTCTGTAGATGATTCAGAGGTACAGGATCACACCCCTTCAGACGCGTGATACTACACCACGCCCACCACCATGGTGCCCTGAGTCGGGGACACCTCTCTCAAATCCTCTCGTGTGTGTGTGTCTGTCTGTCTGTCTGGTTACAGCTGAACACATGGCTGAGCAGGGCATATGAGGCCCTTCATCCTCAGATCTCTGCTTAACTTTCTGCCTCTGTCTCTCATTGCTTACTTTCTTGTGGATTTAGGCTGATTTAGCTGCAGTTTTTTTCAAGAGGCCATGCTCACGCTTGCTCAGAGCCTTTGCAGAGGCTGCACCTGTGTGCTGTTTCTTCTCCCCTCCCAGGATAGCTTAGTTTCTCTCTTTCCTGGGGACACTAAACACCAGCCACCCCACCCCACCCCTCAGCCTTCTGTGACACTCCTGTCACCTTCCGCATCTCAGGTAGCTCCTCCCGGCCCCACCCCCTCCCACCCCCAGTACTCCCTCATCAGGGAGTGAATCCCTCGGATTCCCACTACCGTTTACCTGCTTGGGTCCCCTGGGTGCCATCCGGGCCAGGGCCTGCTCGGTCTTGTCCCAGCTCAGTGCCTTGCACCTGTAGGTGCTCGAATAGAGGTACCCGGTGCCTCAGGCCTGCCAGCTAGGACAGCCCATCTCAGAGCTCCAGCCCTTCTTCCATCCCCACTTCTGTGGCTCCCGTGTCCTTTCTCTGAGCTCCATTTTCTCACCTATAAACTGAGCATTTTGCTCTCATGACTCAGGGATTTCAGCTCTAACATTATGATCACACATTTCTTAATGCTCATTCTAAATCAGAAGGGCAAAGCAAACAGCCTCGGAATAGGTTTGCAACTAGAGCCAGAGCATTTATTGCAGTAAAATTTTCTTTGGATGATGTATCTTCTCACATTTGGAGCAAAGATGCTGTTGTAAAATTTTATTTTGGGTTCCAGCAGAAAATGAGGTCATTTAAATGCTGCCGAGACAGCTCCTTTTAATGTAACACCCCTCTTTGGTAAATAAACCCCTTTGTTTGCTGGAGTGAAGAGATGCGTGTGGGAGCTCACGCAGTGAGGGCAGGGGGGGGGCCCATCAGTGTCCACCGTGTCCAGCTTTGCCTGGTTTGGCTTTTCCTCAATAGGCTGACAAAGTCTCACTGCCCTTTAAGCTGATGTGAAAGAAAGCAAAAGCCTGAGGCCGCGTCTAGACAGAATCTGTTTCAAACTCAGTTGTCTCTGCTGCTGGATCGCAGTTCACGTCTGAACGTTAGCTGGCAGGCAGCTCTGCCATGGGGCGAGCCTCTTGACGTCAGTCTCAGTAGCTTCTGAAGAACAAGACCAGGGATAAGCATCCTGTACTTATTAATGCCCTGGCCTGTGTGCAGTATTGTTAGGTGCTGGGCCCTATTCCGGCGGCCAGAGAAGCCGCTGTAAAATAAAGGACTAGGTTCCTGTCTGTGATGTTTATCATGAACAAGGAACCACGAGCAACAAATAAGCAAATAGATGAATGTGAATGTTCGATAGCAACAGGAATGACTCTCGGTAGAAGACAGTAGTGCCTTGATGGGGCCTGAGTGGCGCTGGAGTCAGTGAGGATGCCACTGAAGAGACGGTGTGTTAGCTGAAGGCTGAAGGACAGGAACAGGGGCAGGAGATGTCCAGGAGGAACCAGCCCTGCAGCTGCCCTAAGGCAGGAATGGTGGCGTGTTCCAGGCCCAGAGGGTGGAGTGTTCCAGGCGCAGGGAGGGGAGCTCTGAGAGGGGAGACAGAAGAGGCGGACAGGCTGGACCACGCAGGCTCATCCGTGCCATCGCCAGGAGCGAAGACTTTACTCTAAGTCCCGTGGGATGCTGTTGAAGTTTTCAGTTGGGTGTATCATACTTGATTAACAATTCCACCCCAGCTGTGTGATAGAGAATAACGGATGGTAGGGGCTGAAGAATAACTAGGGAAACCAACTTGGAGGCTGTTGTGATACCCAGGCTGAAGATGCTGGTGACATTGACGAGGGAGCTGTGGGAGGAGCAGGAGGAGGTAGATGTGGGAAGTGCTTGGTGGGTAGAGCCTACAGGTTTTGCTCTTGGTTTGTCTGCAGGAAACAGAGGAGAAATCAAAGATACCATATGGCCTTTGGGTGGTGTGTCCTCCTTAGTTTGAATAGGTGATAGCTGTGTTCCCATTGAGAGGGGAAAAAAAACAGGAGAGGCAGGAGGAGAGGCCTGTTTTGACCACACTGAGGTATGTATCAGGTGCCCGAGCAGAGTCGCAAGGAGGCGGTTGGAATTTGGCCTGTTGGTTTTGACCAATGCCACTTAGACCCTAGTAAACTACGTACTCCGGCCTTGTATGTAACTGAACTCTGCTTTCAGCTACAGGCAGCTGGATTTAGCACTGACAATTGTACAATTAGGACAGATAACATCTGGTCTCCCTGTCTGTGCCTGCCTTTGCGTTCCTCCAAACTTCTTCATTAGATAATCAAGAAATTCCAGGGCAAGCAAACTTGCATTGATCTCTTTGAATTTTCACTCTGGGGAGCCATGTTACTGGATAAAAGTGAAAAATTAGGTCTGTTTCTTGCTAGTATCATTGGGAACTGTATTACAGATTGCCCCCTTCTGCCCCTGAAGCCATCTTTATTGGATGTGTGTTTTGCTTTGCCTTGCACTGGTTGTCTGTGTGTTGGGCAGGGGTACGAGTATGGACCGGGCATGTGGCTGCTCTTGATTCCCATTGTCCTAACTCTTCCTATCCGCGTAAACATTAGGGCATTATTCTTTCCCTCTGATCATAGCTTTGTGTGTCTCTTGTCACAAGTCCTGTTTCAAAAGCATTTAAAAACTAGAAAGGACTGGTTCCGCTGCAGCACCATTGAGGAGCACCGGCCATGGTTCTGAGCTCCCCCACGGGCGTGGGCCTCCACAAGTTTACCCAGACAGGAGCCAGCCTAGCTGCTCAAGGTCTCAAGGGCAGGCAGGCCCCCAACTGCATCTGGAAAACCATGGGTTTACATCTTCAAGCCAGGAGGAAGAGTGCGGAGTTGAGCAATCAAAGGCCTGGCCTCCAAGGAAGGTGGCAGCCAAGAAGGACTGAGCCCCTCCCTCTCTGTTCCTAAAGAAAACCTGAATTTTCAGGGGGGGAAACATTAAAAAGGATCGTATATAGTATTGTCACCCCCTCTGGGAACCACACTTGACACGTTTGTTTAAAGGAGGGTAGGAGAGAGGGAAAATTGATGGTAAACTGGTAATAGAGATGGAAAGGATTTTACTCATTTAGGCTAAAACCAAATGGGTTTTCTTATTTCTGGACTCCACTCATGGCCCCTGTTGCTCATGGGAAGGAGGCCCATCACTTTCTCTGGGAGAAGGGGCAGCACTATCCACTTCTTCAAGACCCCAGGAGCCATGGCATAGGTTCCATGGAAGAAAACTAGTCAAACCACCATGCTGGTCTAGTTTCTCAACTGCCCCTGGAGTCCCGGCGAGGCGGTGCAGAACTGACCCACCTGTTAGGGCAGGATGCCCAGCAAGCCAGGACAAGGGCTCTCATCAGCACATCCCTGGACTGGCTCCTTTGGGGGCTTTCCACTGGGCCATAGGCTCTCAAGCACTGGAAGTGTTGAGAGTCGCCATCTTGGCAGTGCGCTGATTCTCAAGGGTGGCTTCTTGGCAGTGGTGGAGCTACAAGAGACTTTGAAGGCCAGGGAGGCTGTTTCTGAATGAAGAAGAGAGAAAGGTGTTCCAGAGGTCAGAGGCAACAAACCAAAAACATGGAGTCCAAAGGGAGATGGCTGGATGATATAGGGAACGTTGACAAGTTCATGAACTACTGTGCTAAGCCAGTGACTTCTGAAGTTACATTTGGCCAGACAGGCTTCGTTCATCTGTGGTCAGCAGATGAAGGAGACAGTTGGCACCCTTTGTGTTGCTGGAGTAATAGAGCCCCTCTGAGCAGCGCCGTGCTGGAAAAAGTGGGGGATCCATCAGGTCTCTGGTATTAATTTCCCCAGACATTCCTCTTGCTGCACATCAGTGGCCAGTCAACATCTGGTTTTCCTAGTGTTGCCTGAAGTTTCACTTTAGCTTCTGACAGTGTGCATTTCAGATTTTCTAGATGCTTCACATTCTTTCTCATTTGCAAACAGCTTGAACAGGCAGGTTGCCTATATTTCTAGGGGGATGATGGCTTGTCCGGAGTAGACCTTAGTTGTTGCACTGGACCTTCGTAATGGATGAAGGAAGCAGATGGCTTTTGTTTTAAATGTTGAAGGATGCACAATGACCCACACCCACTACATAGAGCTAAGAAGAACTGCAGGGGTGAACCTGAATCAGGACCTCCAAATAAGTCACTTTGGAAGGTTTTGCTTTCATTTCTCTTAACGGCTGATTACCCAAGAGAACTCACACATTCTACAGTGGATGAATGTTTGTGTCCTTGGAGTGAAATAGGAAGTCAAGTGGAGACTGAACCAAAGCAGCAAAGTTACCAGCAGACCAGAGACTGAGACATTTATTCATTTATTTTAAAAGACAGTTGTTGTTGTTTTTTTTAAATCAAAGTTAAATCAATCACTTTTTAGTGTATTTCAAGAGTGTGCAGACCAATGTCCACAGAAGCTCTATCAAATTCATCAGTTTCTGGTTTGGGTTTCTCCTACCAATGATCTCATTTTTATGTTTTAAGGAAAGTTTAAGATTCAATTCAATATGATGATTCTAACCTGTATATGCAATACTTGGTGCCCTGTCATAATTTATTGTCTCTAAAAAGCATTGGGACCTCGGCTCCTTGTTTATATAAATATGTCATTTAATCCTAACAACAAACCTGCAAATGTTAATAATTACCCCACCCTATAGGCAAGGAATTTGAGGGTTTTAAGCACTAGGTGACTTTCATTTGCACTAAGTGCCAGAGCTGGGCCCAAGCTATTGCAGTTAAAGTCTCCTGCATGAAGACCTAGCTGTGATATTTTCATCTTCCTGTACTAATAGTTGTATAAATAAAAGGAATCTACCCCACAGATGTCTGCACACACAGTGGTATCTGATTTTCAGGAAGAGGAACCTAGTCAGGGAATTCGATAACGACTCTTACTGCACTATCCAGTGTTACAGCCACTAACCGCTGGTGGCTATTTAAATTTAGTTGAAAATGTCAGTGTCTCAACTGCCACTATCCAGATTCCAAGCACTTGTGGCTGGTGGCTCCATATTGGATGGTACAAATACAGAACGTGTAGAAAGTTCTATTGGCCAGCACTGCTAACCAGACTTTGGTCCAACCTGCAGAATGTTATCTTCTGGGGTCCCCTGTGCATGCTGACGGGTAACAAGTAATTGGCCTGACCTGACAGCTCCGCTCTCCTGTGTCAATACCGTGTGTCTGTCCATGCACTTCACAGTATGCTCAATTTTCCTTCCAAGGAGGAAGTTGGCCGGATATGGAAGATGGAGCTGCTTAAAGAATCTGATGGGCTGGGAATTCAGGTTAGTGGAGGCCGAGGATCAAAGCGCTCACCTCACGCTATCGTTGTCACTCAAGTGAAGGAAGGAGGTGCCGCTCACAGGTGACTAGCTACCTCTCCCCCTCTCCTCTGCCACCCTCACCTCTCCCTCCTCCTCCCCCGGGGGTGCTGGGACTTTCATTGGGTCAGCAGCTGTTAATTACCATTCATAAGGTTTATGCTGGAAATCAGGCGTGAGCAAGTCTAATTAAACACAACTCTGAGCACAGGAAGTGGCTAATTGCTGGCGAGGCTGCAGGCTCCTCCTGACCACGAGGAGAGATTCATTTCTTTCTAGTCCAGTTTGAGTTTCAAGCAAATGTTCTTGTCCTAACTGTTGATACTGGTAATTATGTGGCTACTTATTGAAAATATGCCATGCAACACTACACCACATCCCTGACGTCATCCCTGCCATGGACCGTGGCTAAGGACGTGGGAAAGTGGCTGGTTTTAACTGAGGCCACCATCCATGTGCCATGACAGGATGCCAGGTTCGTTGGCATCCCACCCTGCTCTAGGCATGTCTCTGTCATGCAGTTGTAGAAAAGAGTAGAAAAAATGTGACTTTTTCTCCTTGAGCTCTATTAACAATTCCTACTTCAACACATTTTTTACACCGCTTGTGCAAGGCAAAAAAGCCCATTTGGAGTTACAAGGATGGAGAGTCAGATGTTGCTTAGCAACATTATCATCAACAAGGACTGCATATACAATGTGCCCCAAGCAGGCTGTATCATATCGCCCAGGTGGGCAGTAGGTGTGCCAACTAGCTTTGTGTAGTTACACAATGGATGTCATACAACCAAACCACCAAGCAATGCATTTCTCAGGACATATCCCCTTGATAAGCGACACGTGTCTCCGTTCCCTATATAACGCGTGCTCTGGCCATGCCAGCTAATGGCTCGTGGCATAAGGTGTTTTCTCTTTGCCTTATGTATTTGTGTTCCTTGCCCACATGGCACACGAGATGTAGAAAGGTAGAGTTTCCTTGGTGAGTGGGGTGAATCTTTGCAACTTGGGTTTAGCCCAGGTACCTGGATGCTAAGGGGAGATGGCAAACCAGAGTGTTGTTAACCTGCCCCAGACCAAGAGGGCACTCACGGTAGGTCTCACAGGGTGGGGCTGAAGTTGCTGGAGGCATTTCGTCTCAAGAATAGAAAATGAAAGAGGAACAGGACCCAAACTGTCTAGTGTTTCATGCTCATCAGCCTCTTCCCAGAGATTGTGATGCTCACACCATGGTCAGCTGTCTGGCTGGCACGAACAATTGAAGGACTAAGACTAGATAGTTTGGGCCTCCTTGGTGGCCTTAGGGGTTAAATCTCAGCACTGTCACCACTATGGCCTGAGTTCGATCCCCAGCCAGGGAGCTACCCACATTGTGCAGCAGACCTCTCCTGTCCCGCCTGCTGCTCCATTCAGCAGTGTATTTAAGTCATTCTGCCTGTTCTGCTCCCCACTGTCTCTGGTGAATCCTCTCACTCCCCCCCACGTACACACATACCCTTTTGGCCTATACCCCAGTTCTTTTATGCATAAATAAATAAAATAAATCTTTTTTTAAAAAAGACTAGATAGTTTTTATCCAGAAGAGCCTCCTTAAACTTCCCAAATGACATCTTCAAGGAACTCCCATGAGAGTCAGTTTCCCATTAATCCTAGGTCTTACTTTCCAGTACATTGTTAGAAAGTTGGCAATTAGGAAATTCCTGTGCCCAGAGGTGAGCTTGCTTAGAACTGTTCTTGTCTATTTTCAACATCAGCTGTTTCTGGGGGGTGTAGGAAGGGCTGTCACCATTTTCTTTTTACCCTTCCTTGGGAGTTGTGTGTCTCTCTGTTTCAGAGTGTGCAATTCACATGCGGGACATTCTAGTTAATAACAAGAGGGGAAAGGGTGGAATTAAAATGGATGGTGCTGGAAGGGATCATGCTCAGCGAAATAAGCCAAAAAGAAAAAGAAAAATACCGGATGGTCTCACTCATAGCAGGAATCTAGAAAACTTAAATAAGGGACCAGGAAAATGAATAACTATAAGAAAGTGAAAATCAAAATCAACAAAAAACTATGAACCAGAGACACTTTTAGGGGGGCAGGGGCGGGAGGGGAGGGATTGGGGTCAGAATGGGGGCGCTGCAATTGTATGGGGAATATAACAATAAAATTTATTATCTAATAAAAAAAAATAAAATAAAATAAAATGGGAAATAAAAGAAATGGGGAGAAGGCTGGTTGCAATGGCACTGTGGATTAGAAAACCCAAGGACACTGGCCCGGACCACCGTATTCTTTATTCTGGAACACCCTCTCCCACAGTGACCCACTTGGGGCTTCCAGTTTGTTCTTAATGGCTTTCTTATTTCCCTTTTCTTCCCATCTCAAGCAACTGGTGGGATCCTTAGCATTTGTCTGTTCTAGGGATTTTAGGACAGAAAGCAGAGGCTGTCATAAGTCTCTCATGCCTTCTGTCTGTCAGAGGAAAGATTATGATACCTAATGATGTATTTCCTAGAGCAGGGCAGGGGAGAAGAAAGCTGGTGAGGGAGGGGAGCATGGAAGGATAGAAGTCAGCTGATTTGTTGAAAGAAAGCAAGAAGGAAGGTTTACAGATGGAGAGAAACGGTTTAGGGAGCTCCAGAGATCAGCACGGCCCCATAGCAGCAGCCTGGGCACCAACGTTGTGGCTCCAGTGGGGATGAACGGACCCTAGGTTAGGATCTCACCTCCCTGGGCTGCCTCATCCATATTCAGCAATGGGAGTAAAAAGCCTTGCTTGACTCCATGGGGATCCAAGGAGACCAGACCATTGGAGGCTTAGGTAGAACCCACCTGACAGGTAGGGCCACCCTTGACCCACCGTAGAGGGGGCAGTCCCGTGACAAAATCCCCATGTTGTGACCCACTCTGCTGGGGTGAGGTCAGATGCCTGCAGCAGCAGATTAGGCAGCTTATTCACCCATGTCCTGATCGCCCTACGTGTCCGCGTTTGCGTTCCCCCTTCTGCTTACGAGGCTAGACGTGAGACACACAGGTAAGAGAGGCGCTGGGGGACATCGTCCTCAGAGTCCGAACCTGTGTGTGTTGGGGGAGGGGAGAGCAGACACCTACAGTGGGGTGTCACAGGTGCCAGGCTATCCGGTGTCTCCCGGGAAGAGGGCAGTGAGGTCAGGAAGGATGAGGGCGAGCATAGGACGCCTGTGCTCTGGAGGGGTCAGCCCGGTGACCTCCCCGTGCACAGGACTCTGTCTTGAGGCCCGGTGGCAGGGGGCGTTCAGAAAAGAGTGGCGTGGCCATCCTCAGACCTGGGGGTCTGGATGCCTCTGCCATTCTCTGCGACTAGATGGCACACATTTCCTCACCCTTGATGCGAGATGTGATGGTGACTTAAGAACAGGCTTATGACTAAATTCATGGAGCTTTTCACTCCACAGAGTGGGACTTTGGAATCCTGCCAGGCCAAAGCATAAAGCCATCCCCCCGCACTCTCCGTGGTGGCCCCTACTGCCTTTTTAGCCTGATGTTAACTGTCCCCTCCATGACCCGCTTCAACCAGGAAAATGCCCCTTCTCAACCCTCACTGTGTTGATGGGCATGTCTCGCTCTCCTCCCGCAGGGATGGCAGACTGTCTCTAGGAGACGAGCTGCTGGTGATCAACGGCCACTTGCTGGTCGGGCTATCCCACGAGGAGGCGGTGGCCATCCTCCGCTCGGCCACTGGCATGGTGCAGCTGGTGGTGGCCAGCAAGGTAGGTCTTGTTTGTTTTCCTAAATGTTTTCAATGGCGGTAGTGAGTGTGTATGTGAGTCCTCCCTGTGCGTTCCCCCATGCAGACACACACGAGCACTGAGCACGCACGCACACGTGTACGCTTGCACACTTGTCAGTCATGATGCTACAGCTAAGGAGGGGCTCCTTAGCTGGAGTGCAGTTATTATTTTTGCCTTCTTTCGAGGGTCTTTAAAGACATTTTGAGGGGATGGAAAAACAAGACTAGCACTACGAAGACGGTAAGACTGGTAGGGTGGAAGGAAGGACAAGGCGGAGAGCAGTGACTCGCCCAGGAAGGAGACGCAGAAGTGCACTGGGCAGTGTACGTGAGAGTTTGAAAAGCGTCATCGGTCTTAGACAGACAGACAGACACACACACACCCCCACCTACCCACCCCCACCCTCGTACCTCCCTAAGTCCACAGCTGAGCGGCACTGGGTTTTTTGCACGGACAGTGCACGTGCCCACCAAATCGTTACTCCCGTGCTGACGTCTTTCTCCTGCTGGTTTGGAAAATGGGAGAGGGACCTTCTATGTCAAGCCATTATCTACAAACACAAAGCAAACATAAAATAAGATGCAACAGGGTCGCTTGTGGGTGGACTAATCATGAAGGGGCCTCATGGGATTTTGAAAACTAGTTCCTGGAGCCTGAGGGGCAGGGAGTACCTCATCTATGACCTCCCCACTGATCTGAGAAAAGGACACAGACGTGTATTGAAGGCCCACTGGGTGCCAGGTGTTTTTTGCCTGTTATTTAATTCTTAAAATAAATCCCATGAGCCAGATAGCAGTTCTTTTCACCCCAAGGAGGACATTAAAGCTACGTGGTTAATTTGCCAGAGGTCACTCTAGCAGTGGGTGCAAGAAGCAGGTTTCAACCTGTGTCTGTGGGGACTGCCACGTTCTTGTCTCCCAGACACCAAGCTGCCCTGTGATTGAAGAAGACGTCGAGGGCACCAGAGCCAGTGGTCTCAGGGAAAGGTATCCTGTGCTTGTCTGACTGAGAGGGGCACTCCTCGCAGCACTGAGCAGCATCCCGGGGCCAAGGAGCGGTCGTCCATCCTATGTGTCCATCCATCCGCTCATCAACTCTCATCCATCTGTACTGAGCCCCAGTCCTAAAGCTGACTCAGGCTTCAGACAGTGACCCCTTCCCATCCTCCAGCATGCTCCATTTACAACTGGGCACCACAATAAACTAGCAACTGCTGGCTTGTTCCCAAACTTAGCCTCTGCCATGCCGAGCGTGCGTCTGCGTGGGGAAGAAGGTAAGAAGCAGAGCCTCTGGGCACTTGTTTCTCCTCTTTATCCAGCAGGAGCAAGTAATGCCCAGGCTTTGTTTCTGTCTTTATATTTGAAGAGAGGGAGAAAGGAAAAAAAAAAAAAGAGCATTTGACTGGATGAATGTAAGGAATCATAAAAATGTCAATTTTTGTTGTTGCAGACAATAGTCCCTTTTGTCACTAAACATTAAGGCGGTGTTTTGGAAATACAGGAGTTCCTTTCTTTAGGAGGGTGGCTCATGTTCTCATGCAAATGCATTACTTGTTTACGTGTGGGTGCTAAGAACATTTTTTGTTGAATAAATGAACTCAGACTATACAAGTTCATTTGCTATTCTTAGAAGTACATGCATGGCGTTACAGATTTCTCTCTTTTTTCACTCTAGGTTTTCATACCAGTAATAGGCACTTACTGTGTCTAATGTAGAAAACTCAGAAAAAATAGAGAATAGAGAAAAAAAACAAGATTTTCGTTATACCACCCACAGTACTGGCCGTGATCTGCCCTTCCAGACAGGAGCACTTGTGCATCTGTGCTGTTGCACACACGTGTTTTTCTCTTAAATGGAATCAAACCTAAGGAAGCTTCTGCACCTGCGGGCAGCGCCCTGTACCCAGACACCAGTACAGCCCTTCAGAAGCTGGGGGTCTTGAGCACGCTGCTCTCTCTACCTTGCAGTGTTTTCACCTGTATGTTGGAATCATGGGCTCTCAGTGGCAAGCTCTTAGAGACAGGCTGGTCTTTATAGTGATCACATATTACTACATCTAGCATCTAGTTTATTTTTATACCTTTTATTAATAAGGTTTATTGTTTTTAACCTGCTTTTTCACTAAGGAGCATACAGTAAGAATCTTTCCACATTAGAAGTCTGTTTAAGGGGTGTCAGTGGTCTGTTCTGTGGCTATTGCACAATTCACTCACCAATTAGGATCTTCATTTTTTTTTTTTTTTTTTGAATTTTATATTAATGAGCTAGCCGAGTTGACATCACAGAAGAGAACTGGAATCACTCTTTAAGAACTCTTGCTCCTTGGCTAACAGTGGACTAGTCACAGTTACTGATCTAAAATGAATCACCTTCGGGTTCCTGGAAGGTGGAACCAGCATCTAGCTAGTAACAGACGTCACTGTCACCAGGTCCCAACTCGCTAATAGTTTGTAAGGTTTGTTGCTTAAGGTGTGTGTTATTGTTCTCTCTTCCGTCAGCCCCCAAGGGGTGCTGTGATCAACACCTTCCACAGGTTTCCTTGGAAACTGGTGTGGGAAACTTAGAAAAGGCTGGTGTGGGAACTTGGATCCCCCTGTAGCCCCAGCCCAGGAGACCTCTCAGCTCCTGTGTGTGTCCCCAGGATGCTCACGTGGCCTCTGTGATCTCGCCTGCCTCTGGCAGCCCCCTCTGGCCTTACCTGTGCGTGGGAAGGCCTGTGTTAATGATGCCCCCTTTCAAAGGATCTGATCTTGATGGAGTCTGATTCATGTATTTTCATTGACCTTTAAATGTTGTTCAAACGCTGCTTTCATTGAAGACATTATCAGTTTCCACTTCGGTGTTGTAATTCAATAAACGATCTAATCTCTTTCTAAGGACCATCTGCTCACAGATGAGCAGCTGGGAGAGGACGATAGATTGGGTCTCCGCTCTGTGCTGGGGCGCTCAGACAAGCAGGGGAGACGGACCTGCACTGCCAAGCCATTTTATAACGCAGTGAAGGCACGAGGGAAGCAGGGGAGGTGAATGGAGAGCCTCCCGAGATGCCCCAGGAAGACTAGCGGAAGAGGCTGTGCAAGCTTTGCTCACATCGGCCTTACTCGTGAGAGGAAGGCTGGTCTGGGCAGAGGGAGCTGCTGTTGGGAAAGGCAGGGGGAGCCACACGTGACGGCAAGTCAGTGCAGCTTGAGTGGAAGGCACGGGTTGGAGGGGAGAATAGAGGCAGTTGAGTTTAGAGAGGAAGGAGAAGCCCGATCTCTAAGGTGAGGCCTGCTGATGAAGGGGTTTATCTTGAAAGCAAGACCAGGGGGACAGCAATGAAGGATCATAAATTCGGAGAGCTTGGATTCCCTGTGGAAACGTTGACCAAAGAAACAAATTCTTCAGGAAAAAAATTGGTTTGTGCATACACTGGGCCCACTCCCCTGACCGCCGAGGGGACCTTGAGGTGGACATGTGGAATGCACATGCCATGTAGCCTCTGGATGGGGAGCCCGTGACCCCCCCACAGCTGACATTGCAAGCTTTTCTTCGACCTTGACGGAGAGCAGCTTGGTGCCATGGGGTAATTCGTGGGCCTTTGTGTCCCCATAGGAAACCTCTGCAGAGGACCTCCTCAGGCTAACAGCGAAGAGTTTGCCTGATCTGACGAGCTCAGTAGAGGACGTGTCCTCTTGGACCGACAACGAAGACCAGGAGCCGGACGGGGAAGAGGACGAAGGAGCCGGCTCGTCTTCCGCCCGGGGAGCAGTGAGTGGGCTTCCCGTGTCCCGGGCACCTCTGCTGCGGGGATGGTTTCCTGCAATCATGAGTGTCAGGACCAGGAAGACAAGCTTGAGATAGTACGATAGACACCAGGATAGGAGAGGACCACCATGCATTCTTTTTGTTTTTGTGTCAGAATCTTTCAGAAAAATCTATGAGGATAAATCTCTTTCAATTACGAAAAAAAAAAAAAAACATTTTAACTAGAATCAAATGAGACAGCAACTGGGTGTTTAGTTTAGCATGTGTATCAATTTCTAGAGGGCTCAATAACCTATTGAAGGATTGTATTGCTGCTTTTCGATAGTGTTTGAAAGCTATTGTTTGTGAGATTTCTGGTTGCAAGTAGAACGCTAAAAATAACACAAAACCATTCAATTGTATAGGTACGTCTTCCAATTTTGTTTTTAGATTTATCTTTATTTATTCATTCATACAAGAACTGGGATGTAGACCAGAGGTGCAGAGGGTGAAAGGATTCCCCCAGAGACAGAGTGGGGAGCAGAACAGAGGGATGTACTGAAATACACTGCTGAGGGGAGCAGCAGGTGAGTCAGGAGAGGTCTGCTGTGCCATGTGGGTCACCTCCCTGGCCAGGGATCAAACTCAGGCTGCAGTGGCTGCCGAAAGCTTCATAGTGCTGAGACTTAACCCCTTGCACCACTAGGGAGGCCCCCATGTCTTCCAATTTTAACCCAGCAGGCTGTCACAAGGCTCAGAGTTCCTCACGCCCACAGTCTGCTCCGACACTGCCTGGCGCACCGGTCGCGAAGCTTTAGGTTACTCGCCCTTCAGTGTGGTGAAATGTTCTCCTCTCTGTGTCTCCTCTCTGTATTGCATCTTAGATACAATCTCTTGTTCGCTCTTGTTTCCCATCTAAGCTCTTGTTTCCCATCTAAGAGGAGAGGGTCCTCTTTCTGCCTTTTGGAACCCCCACTTTTTCCCATCGTCACTGAGCCTCCGCAGAATGGGTAATCATTGGCAAATTCATCTTGCTTATAATTAGACCACAGGAGACAAAACTTGTGACTCTTCCTACTTCTATACTTTTCAGTTTTCAGTATTTTTATACTCTTTCAGTTTGAGGCCAATGGATACCGTCCCTCTTTCTTCTGGGACATTAGAAATTCCGGGCCACTGGGTATGGTTGCGCAGGTTGTAGACTGCACAAAGGGCCACACCCAAGGGAGCAACATTCACATCATTAACATCATAGGCTTTTATCATTATTATGACAACTTTTTTTGAATATGGGAGTAAAGCGTTTTGCTAATAAAATCAGTGTATTCAGACGATTTTCCAGTCAAGGCAGGAAAACATCTTGAAGAGGTGCCTTCTTTGTCTAGAAGCATTGTATATGCCCATTGTTGAGGACGAACATTTTTCCAGCTTCTAAACAGGAGTCCACTACTCAGGACGTTGTTCTGGGACAGCACCCGGGGACAGCTCAGCCAGTTTTCAACAGAGCTAAGTAATCTCCGTGCCTGGGCTGGAAGAGGGCGGGGATTCTTCTGTGACTGCCTGTCAGTCCTAACCACTTGCCAGGGTTCTCTTCAGAATCCTCTGATGTCTTCAGGGCTCAGACCTGAGTCCCAAAGCCTCTGACTCTTCTGTTTCATGCCTCTTGCTCCAACAACACTCCTTACTGGGGTCTCTCTCCCCAGCTCTTCAGAGGGATTGACCCCCCGGGGCCTCACAGCCTGCTTGCTGCTGGGTGGAGAATAAGGACGAGCCCCTTTCCTGCTTGTGGCCGTGGAGGGAGACTCCTCACTGCAGGCCTTGCTCACCTGGAACCCTGCAGGGGCGGGCGTGGTGGCACAGGAGGGGCAGGGGACTGTAATTCCCCTGCTGCAGACCCAGATCCCCATGGAAAGGAGAGCTGGTGTTCAAAGGGATTGAAATGGCTTTGCTGTGAGGCATGACATACGTGTCTCTCTGGTTATCTCAGAACTACCTTCCTCCCAGAGACCAAAAATTCTAAGTTATCTGAGACACTTCCTTCTGCTGGAAGTATGTGCGTCATCTGTCTCTCCCAAATCTGCTCATCACTGCTCCCCTGGAATTTAGTATCTGCTTTTTTTGTTTGTTTGTTTGTTGCTACCTGTCTTTTTGGGGAAAGAAAGAAAATACTGAAGGTTTGTAAACTTTTCAAGTTAGGGGTACCCCTTTGGACCCCCAGTATCCAATAGCACCTTGTATTCCAGCCATATTCAGACGTAAGCTGTCCAGAGAGCAGTGGTTCTCAAAGTGTGGTCCCCGGACCAGCAGCATCAGCATCACCTGAAAACTTGTGAGAAATGCAAATGTGACCATGTGACCATGTCACATCAGAAACCCAAGGTGACATCCAGCAATGTTTTATAATAAGACCTCCGAGTGGTTTGGACTCAGGCTGAAGTGTGAGTCTAGAGAGGCGGCAGAGCCCGCCGGCCTAGGAGGGGTATATGTGTTGTGCCTGGTGAGTCCACAGTGTGAGTCCTTTCTCAAGGACAGATACGGCTCATCTTTTTAAAAATGAGATTTTTTAGGGGAAAAAAATCCCACACTCTGATCTTTTAAAAATGAAGGGATAGAGTTTTAACATCATAGCATGTGAAATGGGTGTTACCTCTTAAGTAATTGGGAGCCTGTCTCTTTTTATATTTTTTAACCAAAAATGGAGGTAATGATTCTCTTTGCCAAATGTGCAATTGTCATAGTTCAGCTCGAAAGGGTTTGCTTAGCACATCAATCAGGAAACCTGTCTCCGGCTTCCTTTGGCATCAAGAGAATCAGTTCTAACATTTTCAGAATCAGCAGTTTGGGAAAATCTTGGAGAAAAATCTTGGTATTAAGTGTAAGAAGGAATAAAGACCTCATCACTCCAGAGGGAAGAGAAGCCGAGCTTTGTCTGTAAGTCCGATGTTGGTGCTTGATTGCTTGGTTGTTTGTGGAATAGCCTGAGGTCTGGGAACTGGAATCACTGTCTTCTGGAAAAGTCGGCCTCCTGAGGGATAGATGTTAATCCACATATAGAAAGAAAGGAGAAGACCTCTTGTGTTTGATCTGGATTGAGCAATTGGTAGTGGGGCTCTAAAGCACCTGGATCTTGAAGACTGGAAGGCAGCCTGTGGGGGGGGCTCTCTCTTGGTGGGTGCCTGTCTAGATTTTTCTGTTGAATCAAACTTAGAGCCTAATGCAAAGAACAGAGAGCATGTACTCATGTGATTAGGATTAAGACGGGAAGTGTCTGGAATCTGAACTTCACGGTGTGAAACTATTTATAGAGGGACAGACTGGTATATGGCTCTCTGAACTTTAAGTGAGGGGAGCAAATGTCCTTTCTCTAAAACCTCATGGAGAGGATTTTAAGATGGGCTGCTCATGTTGGCAACGGGGGGCTCCTACTGCTGAAGAACCTTGAGGGCCCCCTCAGCTTAGGACAATAGCAGCTACTGCCTAGAGGTGCCCTCAGTCTGCGCCTGGATGAGAAATAAGCTTCCCTTCTCCCTAGGCTTCCACTTCTGAATTATCCAACTTCAGGACTCACCTCTTCCAGGAAGTCTTCCTGGATATGCACATCCTTCATATTTTAGCCCCTAGCATGTAATAAGCCCTGTATTTTCCTTCATGATCCTTAACACAGATTAAAACAACTCATGATGGTTTGCTTAATGTCATATTCCCTGTTATGGGACAAGGCCTGTGTCTGATCCATATCCAAGTGCTCACTGTCATTGTCATTTTATATCATGGGAGGGACAGGTGGATGGTTGGGCTGATGTGGGCACAGAAGTAGATGGCTGTTCTCATTTCCTAATGCCCTGCATGTCCTTTTCTCTCTTACTTGCCTGTCTTACCCAGCACACCATGAACTCAAAATGGGCACAGTACATAGTAGGTACCTACTGGTTGTGTCTTTAAACCAGAAAGTCTGTCTGCCTCTCCCTTTTGAAAGTTTCCATCTGGGGTAGGAATATCAATGATACAGAAACCATTTTTCCAAGTACAGCATTGTGGGAACACAATGTACCTTCCCTTAAAATAGGACATTTGTGGTAGCACCTCATTAACAAATGAGTCAATTCTTATGTTTATTTGGTGAAGGCTCAAAAGCTGTGAGCATCTGGAAAGGGAAATTAGGGCTTGATTTTTAACAAATGGATGACAACCACCACGACCCAAGGGGGTCGGTGCAGTAATAAGGGAGATCTAAGTGAAAACACGAGCCACAAAGACAGCAGGGAACAGAATGTAGAACGGCAGTTCTGGGCAATGTGGGTTCTGAAAAAAGGATAGTGACATGCGAGACAACAAGGACCTGGGGACTGGCTGGCCCAGACCTTGCATCAGTTAGGCTAGAAACGCATGGAGAGAGGGAAGGCTGCTGAGGCCCAGTGATGGCAGACTCGTCCCCATAGATGAGGAAGTTCAAGGTGGCTGTGAGGGAAAAGCAAAAGCGCTCAGGCGCTAAATCCAGTGTTTACGGCCCTTCTCAGCACGCCAGGTGAGTGTGTGGGGCAGACACTAAAGTGTGCATTGCCAGCTCCACTCCCTGTATCTAAAATGCCCTCAGATCTCAGGGTCCCCAGCTGCAGACCCCCGTTTGGCAGGTCTCAGTGGAGTGGCGACCAGGACTCTATTTTCAGAAGCTTCCCCAGTGATTCTCATGCTCATCCAGGTTTTGAAAAGCAACCTGTGGGCAGCGGCTGCTGACGGAAGCAGCCGGTCCAGGCACAGCCCTGTGCTGGCCATGGGGCAGTTTCCGTGAGGTGGCACCAAAAGGCAGACTCCCCAGCATCTCCTGGTTGGGGGCCTAAGATTTATCTGAGATTGGCTTTGAGATAAGAGGAGGCTTGACCCCCAACAGCCTACCACCTCCCTCCTGTCTAGTTTGGGGCTGGAGTTGAGGCCCAAGGTCTTGGCGGTGCACATGGAAAACTTAGAAGAGCGGATCTCCCCTCCCCAGCTCCTTATTGCATGTGGTCCTGGTTGCCTTTGCAGACACAGGTTTCCGGCATAGACATAGACAGATGCGGTAGAGGCTAAAGCTGTATTATTCCTGCACAACCTGCCACAGGCAGCAAGACACACTGATCCACGACCCAAAGAGCCAGCATTTTTCTCCCCACTGTCTCTGTGAACTGCCCTCTTACCCCTGGAGGCCTGGACTTCCCCTTGGAGGGCTCCATTCACTAGATGACCCTTAAGCAGCACTCAGCTGGCGGAGGTGAAGCTGCTCTGTGTATAGAACTGGCAGCGTCAGACAAGACAGGCAAGGCTGCAATTACTGCCTGTCTAAGAAAATAAGATTTAAATTTGGGGATGGTTGGGGTTTGCTTTGGTTTCATACTTAAGGAGATGAAGTGATGATTTAAATGGGTGCGGGTGGGGGGAAATGAGATAAGAATGATGATTTGACCTGGATGAATTGCCCAGAAAACTGCTGAAGTTTAAATGAGGCACTTTTTCGAGGGCCTGTTCCAACTCGCTATCTGGCTGCCTGCAGCATTTTGATCCGCACAGTTTGCATTTCTCAGGGAAGTCAACAGCTCTCGTGTGATTTGCATAGATAAGCAAAGAATGTTTTCTACAGACTTGCTGCAGGGTGGTCTCCAAAGTGGGGTGAGCACACGGGAGGGGGCCCAAGGAAGGTCCCTTAAAGTATGGGCGGAATGTACTAGGACCTGTATGGATTTGACCTCATTTTAGATGTTTCCTGTTCTACAGCACACCATACTTTAGTGCAGCTTAGGGTTGTAATTTTTGAAGCGGAGTTGGGAGGACGCGATGGTCTCTGAATCTTCCACAGCTGATGTCACGGGCTGCCGCATCACAAAATACAGTTCAAGAAACCCCTTTATACCGAGGCAGCTTTATTACCACCTTCTAGATTTGAAGAAAAGCCTTCATGTTTCAGTGCAAATAGTATGGGCTAGTAGAGCGTGTAATAGTTACTCCAAATTAATTTCTTTTTACGAAATAACACCGTAGAAGCCATGAGGTGACCTCATTCCTTGGGACAGTTGCTTCCCGCCTGCTTATCCCATCACTGTCTTCCAAGAAGCCTTTCCGCCCTGCCCAGTCTTCCTCTTCTGTCACACTTACTCATTTCCTCTTGCATATCCTTGGGGCCTGCACCTTGATGGCAAGAAGACTATATTAAGGCTTAAAGGAAAATGGTAGATCGGAAAAAAAAACAAAACTTTCTTCTGCCTCAGACAAAATGATGGCACTTACCAGGGCGAAAAAGCCAAGGGTGTGACTCATCTGACCACGTATCTTAGGAGAACTTATCTGTGAGCTTCAGGAAGGCTCCATCCTGAGAGGTGTGTGTCTTGAGGCTGTAAACAGGTTGGTGCTGATATACGCAAGCCGGGTCCTTACTGTCCAGACAAACAGGACCCCGCTTGCTCTCAATTCCAGTCTTGCAAATGGGTTTCTTAGGTAAAAGACGAAATCATCTTTGTGTGCCTAGGTGAGTTAGACATAGAGGTGCTGAGTGCTGGAAACACACCCCCTCACGCACTCACTCTCCCCGTCCCTTGAAGACTTCATGGGCAGTGGAAGATTTGGAGCATTTTGCTATTTTTCTCTTTTTAACCACATCTTAAGCAACACAGTACGAGCCTGGAAATAAAAACAAAGCAAAATCTAAGATCAGAGCAGGGCAGGGCCTCCCTCATGGCTCAAGGGTTAAGTCTCAGCACTATCACCAGTAAGGCCTGAGTTCAATGCCCTGCCAGGGAGCTGACCCCCATGCTCAGCAGACCTGTCCTGTCCCGCCCACTGCTCCCCTCAGCAGTGTATTTCAGTCAGTCTGCCTGTTCTGCTCCCCGCTCTGTCTCTGGTGAATCCTCTCACCCCCCACACTTCTGACCTATACCCTGGTTCTTCTACAAATAATAAAAAAAAAAAAAAAAAAGATCAGAACAACCCAACCTCTGCCCCCAACCCATGGAATACAGGGCAGAAATTTCTCAAAGAACTTGAGTCGTTTAAAATGAATAGAATTCTTTCCCCTCCTCCCTCTATTGTTACCTTGTTTGCTTGCCCTGCTTTTTATTTGCTGCTTGCGAGCATGTTTTTGCTCACCTGGCTTTTTACCCAAGTACAGATTTAGCTCAGACATTTGCAGAAAAGGAAGTCCATGCCTCCCCCTTCTGATCTTGCCTTACTCCTTCACTAGAGAGCGCCTGCCTTCCCCTCCTGACTAGCAAGATTCTGATGCCCTTCATCCCTCAAATAACTTCTCTGATTGCTCCAGCCTCCTGTCATCTCTGCTTTCTCTGATGGCCAGTTTCATCTGCCTATTTCTCACACTTTAGCCTTAAAATCAGGACAATACCTTCTGACTTCTGAACAGGTAGATGTTTGCAAGAATCCATTGGTAAAGCTCTTGTTTGGACATTCACACTTATTTTCTCTAGAAACGAATATATAGGCACACCTCTGATATACTCTGGGTTTGGTTCTAGAGTACCCCCATCAAGTGACTCACCATCAAGTGAGTCACACACAATATGTTTGTTTTGGGTTTCCCAGCACATATAACAGCCATATTTACAACATAACTGTCATCAATTTATTGTTCAATAGCATTATGTACAGCTTTAATAATATCTTCACTTAAACATATTTTATTGCCAAAAAATTGCTAATATCATGTGAGCCTTCAGGGAATTGTGGGGTGAGGGGGTCTCCTGAAAAACACAACTTATATGAGGTGCACTAAAATGCAATAAAATGAGGTGCACCCATATTTACTTAATAGTTGTGGGATTATCTTTTAAGCTAGTGGAGGCAGATAGGTGCCCATCAAATACCCCTTTCAACACCCAAAGTGGACATCTGTAATTCCCCCTGTTTCCACTGATAGCAGATACAGCCTCACGAGTTGAGAACAAGGCCCTGCCCAAAGCTCAGTCCTACCAGGAACAACTCTGGACTGCAGCCAGCCTGGCACTGCCATCCATAGGAGCACTGTGCTGGGTGCTCTGGGGGATACAGAGAGAATAGTCTTCCTCTTGCAGCATTTATTATATTCCATACTGAATTATAGTTGTCTTTCCTTTTCCTGTTCCCCCCTTCTGTACATTAAATCCTTACGAGCCATATGCTATACTGACCTAGAGAGGGGACATCTCGTTCCTTCCAGGGATGGGGGCAATGATATTCCATAGGTTTCCACAGGAACACCCACAGAAATGGGCGACATTATAGAGCAGAAAAGTACATGCACCATGGTCCTCAGATAGGAAATTTTCGGGCCTATTCAAAGACCAACAGGGTCTGTAGAGCAAGTGTTTAACCTGGACTTTCGGTCCCAAGCTAAGGAATGTGGGCTTGTTTTTTGAGTCCTGTTACTCATTGGTGGTTCAAGTTGACTGACAGGGGCCAGAGTTTCTGTTTTAAGGTTTCTCAAACAGTGAGGCAGAGGAAGAGCTGGATGGGAAAAAGACAGAAGCTGTGAGGTGATGGCTGGGGGCCTCTGCTTAGCCTCCCTGAGAGGCAGCAGAGCCGGGGCGGAGGAAGTGGCCATGGTGTTCTAGAAGGCGGGCAGCATTGGGGCTGACCAGCGTAGGAGGGGAGCAGGGCCAGCCTGTCAGCTGCAGTCTGTGGTCTTCTAGGAGCAAGGGTTCCTTGGTGGTCAAGGAGAAGGATGAAACAAGTTTCACTCCTCCCACCTGTGTTTTTATAAGGCAGGGCCAATCCTAAGCAATATTTTCAATGGGGTTTTGTTTACCTTTGAAACCTGTCGCTCCTGTTACCCCACCTCCTTGTCTGTTGGTTCCTTTCTTCATAGATTCCAGAACCATGATTCCTCAAACTCTTCACACTCCCCCACTGAGGTACCCGCAGTCTCCCCTTCTCCCTAAGAAGTTCCAGGCTTCCAAGAAGCTCTTCTTTCTTCTCTGTAGTCATTTTCTCCTCCCCCCGCCCACCATCACTACCAACAATAATAACAGCAACCAACCAACCAACCAATTCTTCCCAGCAGCATATTTATGGACAAAGTAATCTGACTGGCGAATTTAAATGGTGGCCAATAATCCTATGACACTTAGCAAATTGGGGCATTATTTCAAATGAGTTTCTTGTTGCTGTCATTTAAAAATGAAATTTAAAGATCAAAGGCCTTAAGGACAGGGATATTTGCAGAGGAAATACCATGGTAGACCAGCAAGCCTGACCTCAGTAGCTGCTTCCTTAAGATGTTCCTTCTTGTCAGCACTGTCCCTTCAACTTACTAAGTTATGTTTCCTGAGACTCTTACATTTGTTCACAGTGACTTGGAGTAGGAAAGGAAGTGGGGACACCAGTAGTGCTCAGGTATGACCTCTTCTTATAAGGAGAGGTTGGCGGTTGTAGAGGCTGGATCGTAAACCTATCAAGCTCTGCTGACCAAATTGTTTCTTTGCCACTGCTGGTTCTGTGTTCATGTGAGAGGCAGCCACAGGCAGTGGGCGAGCTCACAGGCAGGACTGTGTTCCAGCAAACTTGACACAAGCAGGTGTGGAGCCAGGTGTGGCCCCAGGCAGCCAACTCCTCTGTAAAGCCTAGGGCAGCTCCTTCCACACCTGCCTTATGGGCCCCACAGAGCACATCTGGGCTTTCCTGTCAGGCTTGTCAGGGAGCATGTGCCCTTGGAAATGTCTGCGGGCAGGTCAGCGTGAATTCAACAGCCCTCCTAAAAAATGCAGAATTCAGGGCCCAGCCCATGTTGCTCTGAAAGGCAGCAGAAAGCTTCATGGTGCTGCCTGGAACTAACAAGCAGACCCACATTTAATCACAGTGTCTCCGGCATGACTGCTTCTCTGCATCAAAAGCCTACCTGGAGGGCATGTCCACTTAGAGCAATTCCTGTCTGTGACAAGACACAGGACCACACAGACCTTCCTCACCATTTGTATAGGAAAAAAGGCCCTGAAAAACTCTGGCGCGTTTGCCTTTATTGTTGATTGGACTTGACCATTATGTGTGTATTGGGGCCCCTCAGACAACTCATCCTGCCTTTCCTGCCAATCCTCCTCTTTCTTCCTGAGGTCTCTTACACATGCCTTTCTGTTTTGACAGCCCTGTCACCTCTCTTTTGGTATGGCTTAAGTTTCTCTGTCTCTCTCTCTCTCTCTCTCTCTCTCTCTCTCTCTCTCTCTCTCTCACACACACACACACACACACACACACACACAATGTTCCTCCAGAGTTTGGGCTTGAGTATATCATAGTCCTCCTCCCAGAGATAGGTCTGTGTGAGCAGGGAGCCAGCTCCTGCTGAGAAATGGCCCAAGGCTCCGCCTTTAGCAGCCCGCAGACCACAGAAGGCCTCCACCCCAGCTTCTCCCCTCCTCTATCACAGGAACATGGGACAAGGGAGAGACTTGCGCTTCATGGAGAATGTCACACTTGGCCTCCTCTCAGTTGGAAAGTCACACCAAGGAGGGACATGTGGAGATACCCCTTGTTGCTGTCTGCATCTCCTGTTATTTTTGAAGAACTGAGAGTCACTTGAGGACACTGTGTTCTCCTTGGGAACGTGACACGTACCCGGGACCCCAGGAGCAGATGTTGGCCACAAGTCATTACGTTTCTATACCCTTAAAGATGTCCTTTGCCCAAACTTTCCAAGAGACCTGGAGATCTACTTAATTCTTCCACATAAAAAATTAGCCAAGTAATCATCACCAAAGGATATCAAGCCTGTTCAAATTGTTTGGGGATGGTAAATGCGGGGAAACCAGAAGGGGACTCCAGTAGGGCCAGCAGCCCCGGCGCCTCCCCCTGAATGCATTTGACAGCTCTAGGCTGTGTGCTCTCGTGCCTGGCCCTGAGCCTGCTGCGGTCAGCAGGTTTGACTTTCCAGTGTCACTGTTCTCTTCAGTTCTGAGTTAACCTCTTTGTCGGGAAGCAGTGCCTCTAGCAGAGCCGTCCATTTGTGTTTTAATTTCTGCAGTCAGCTCACAGGCTTCTTGCGACTTCGGGCTGATTTATGGTCATTCTGATTCCCTTTTTCTGAATGGTTATTTATTCCCAGCTCTGGCCTCTCTGATAGCCATCTGGTCCTCCTTTGGTCACTCAAACATCTGCCCCAGGGATTTGGAAAACAAGCTTCCTTTGGCAGCCTAAAAATAATCTCAGTGTGCCGGAGGCCTGAAAGGGAAATCGCCCTGCTCCACTGTCCAGTAGATACCGCCCGGGGGATCAGCCAACAAAGCTTCCCAGGGACTTGGAGCTTGGGTGTCTTCTGTCACATCTGCAGATTATTTTTTTTTCCAAGTGCTGGGAACTGTAAAAACGTGGCATGAACAGGGTGCAGCCCGCCCTCCCGCAGCGTTCCTTGGGAACAGATATGCTTGTGCAAGGGAAATGGTTAGAGATAAAAGCCACGCTTTGCTCAGTTTGTTTGTGAGGCTCCAAGAGTTCGCTGAGGAAGACATGATGCTCAGCACTTCGGTGTTCTATCAGCTGCAGTGTTCGGGATTCATAAATGATTTGGACAGCAGTTAGAGGACTTTTCTAACTACTAGACTTTTAGCATGTACCCGAAGGGCCAGTCTTGTGGGTAATAATAGTTTGTTTCCACCCCCAGAAGACTAAAACTTGCCAGAAGCTAAAACTCAACCCCTATG